GCTGGCCCCGCCTGTATCTCCCCACGATACGACCCAGGTACACCGGCTTATTGCGGCCGCAAACTTCACGCTCGGGTTTACGAGCGCAGGAGCACGGGTTGATAAGGCAGAAATTCGGTTCGCATTAGTGCCGAAATGCCCATGCTTCAGGGGTTTCACTCAGGGACGCAGCAGGCATAACATCAGATCCGCAGATGGTCTGAGCCAACGACCCCAGCCGGGGGACCAAGATACCCCAGACTCACAGCCTGACCGGTGACCCAGCATAACCATTTCACCGCTTGCCGTACCAGATCCGTACCAACCGGTCAAATCCGAGAACTAGGGCCCGCCGCAGAATACTGCGCTCAAACAATTGCATGGGTCATCTATGATCGTACCAAGCTCCCCAATTGGAGAACCGAATGCTGGTCCAGTGCCGTAGTTGAGCCGAATCTGTACGCCGCGGTTCACATCAGACCATTGCAGTACCAATGTCAAGAGTGTCCGCCCTGTTCTCTGGCCAACTTTGCCACTCCATACCGGCCCCGAGCCAGTTCGGACTGCACCGAGCCTAGAAAATACTCACGACGAACCTCCTATAGTTGCTCGGTTTGCCATGGCTCGCACCATGTCGTTGCCGACCCCAATCTGAACCTGAAATAAATTGTCCCAGCGGTTCCCGGCCTGGATTGATATACCGTAGAGGCCTCGGACCAGGAAATAGACCGCCGCACCGGTTCTGAATCTGAAAAATATACCACTGCAGTGGCTGGAGACCTGTAAATAAATCACCGCAGAGGTTTCGAACCTGAACTAAATCGCCGTGAGGGCGTCGAACCTTAAACGAGACACCGCGATGCCACCGAACCTGACCAACCCCGAAATCCAGTACCGGCTACCGTGCCACGCGGATGCCGAACCCGTACAACCATGCCATGATAATTCCGTACCCGTCCCGAACCTGATAGAGGATGCCGCAACGTTTTCGGGCCTGAAAACAAACTGCCGCCAAGGTCCCAAATCTGGAATAACTGTCGTAGTAGCCCCGGTCCTGAGAAAAAATCACCGCAGCTGTCCCAAACCTGAAAATAAGTCACCGAAGTGAAAAAGCTGTACCCGGGTCCATACCGTACCTGAAGCACATCAGACACCGTAGGACGTAGCCATTCCGTAACAACCCTCGTATCCGTACCGAACCAAGCACCATAGTCGACTCATAGTAGCACCCCCCCCATGCTGACCATGTGAGCCCCGCTCTCAGAACATCCCAACTGCGGTAATGTTAATAATCAAGCAAACCAGGGGAAACGACGCAGGGATCCTCGACCATCGACAGTAGTGAAGACTCGTTAAAATCCGGGGAAAATGTTCAATCCGGGGTCTGAGCTGATGGCGGGTAATCGAGGCGAAATTAGGCCAATCTTTCAACAATCATGGGCTCTCGTCCCTTCCATCATTTTTCATAATTCTTCCCTTTCCTTAGTTCTATTGTCGGAAATGGTAAATTAACCGTAAGATCCCCAAAATTAAATTCCGTGAAAGTTTAAATAAACGGCCGAATTCCTTTTGTTTCTTCTCTCTCTTACCATTTTTAATCTTTTTCCATGTTTTTAATTTCATTGCCGGAAACATAGAATAGCAAGGGTATTCCCCCTAGAATTAAATGCCGCGAGAAATAAAAAAATTAAGGGATATTATGTTTTTCTCTCCTCCCCTACTGGTCTTAACCCCTTTTCCCCATCTTTAATTATGGTACTAAAATAGACAAAATTTCGAGGCCTCATTTCGGCTCCGGTCGTATGCTGGAAAAATGTTGCGGCGAGGTCAGTTCCCGCGATGGCTCTCCGCGGCAGGCCATCCCAGGTCTAGGGTCGGAACAGCCGGAAATGATGGTCCCTAGGTGTGTCGTGTGCGACCACCCATCTCGCTATCTTTGAGGGCTACTCGTAAGGTCCAGTGTGCCCAATGTCAGGGTGCCCTGAGCTCCCCTAATTTTTGCTGCCTGGTCAACCCGGAGCACCGTCAAAACACGGACTTATCTTTGAGCCTAAGTCCCAAAGCCGCAGATTTCAGGCGGCGCACTGCTTGTGGCCGCCTGACACCGGGACTTTATCCCGTGACTTGTAGTGTGTTTGTGGTGTTTGACTGTTTTGAGGCTTGTCGGGCTTGAACCTTGAACCTGTCGCTAGTAGTTCTTACTTCGCAGTCTTAGGCCTTTCAGCCTTGTTGTTTTGTCCTTTCTGCCCTTCTAGAAACTGGTAGGCTGTAGGTCTTTCTTTTGGGTGTCTTAGCGTTGGGTCCCTTACCTCACGTTTCCATCTAGATGCAGTTAGGCAGATCTTGACTACTAGGCCGTAGATGTTTGCTGCTTGGACGGTCAGATAGGTCTGTAGGTAGCTGCTGTGTGGTAGGCCTAGGGAAAATGGGTAGAAGTAGGCAGGGACCGAGGAATCTCGGTTCTGTTCTGTTTCATCTTTTTTCTTTTTCTTTTTTTTCCACGAAGTGCTGCTGGAGGTCGCGGCTGGAGCTGCGCTAATTTGAAGCACTCGGTCCTCCTCTTCCTCGAAAGGAAGTGGGCGGCCATAGCTGGGGTTCCTGGGCTTCTGCATATCTGGCCCGGGCATCAGGCCGGGCTCTGTGAGGCGCTCCTCCATCACTGTCTTGTTGGGGTTAAGGCAGCTGCCGTCGAAGCAGCCCTCTGTGATGCTGTTTTTGAAATGGCAGTCCATCATCTTCATCGAGTTGCTGTTCTTCTTCATCATCCTGGGAGCTGCGCTCCCCTGCTGAGTGGACACTTCATCTGCAGTGGGCTTCCTGAGTGGTGCAGAGGGGTGTTGGATTTAGGAGGGTGTGTGGCAATTGGCAGGCTTGAGAGGTTGGGTGCTTGCAAGCACCATAGCTAGAGCTTGAGGAAGAGGGAGGAAGAAGAAGACTCCCGAGTACTTCGATGAAATCTTGTAAATAATTGGTCCGTGGGTGTTGATAACGTGGTTGGGATCCTTCGAATACGTACTCCGGATTGATTGGAGGAGGACGATGGATTGCAGAATTGAAATTTGTTTTTCAATTCTCTGTGTATTTTGAGCTTCTGCTGTGCATATCTTCTCTCCGGTTTTCCTATCCCTATGGTAGTCCTAGTTCGTGTGTCACCCGCTGGGCCCCCAAGGACACCTCACGACGCTCCTCCGTAAACCAATGAAAGATCAGTCTCTGTCCCTCTATGGTCGCTACTTTGCCTCGGGCCAATACCTTACTCTGAAATTTCATGAAGATATCCTTTGCCCTTTCAGGGTTGACTGATGCTTGCATTTTGGTCCTCTGCTGTTGAGCCCTAATGTCTGTTTCCAATAGATTGTAGAATGTTGTTCTGGCTTCCATTCTGGTCAACAATTTTTTACCTACCACCAGTTGGCGTCTCCTTTTCCAGATAGTCTGTAATGCGTACTGTCTCAATAGCTGGAAGATGCATTTCTCACTTGCCCGCCATCCCGTCGGTACTTCCCTTCCTACACGTTCCCATTCACGCATGCAATTGCAGAGTAGAGTCGCGGAGATAGAGAAGGGCACAATCCAATTCAAAAACTGGGAATAAATCGAAGAACAAAAAAGACTAGTAAAGCAGAGACCGCTGTGGGTAAGGTGGCAGGGCCGGAGGATTTTTGCAATCAATGGAGAGACGGGCACAATTTAGAAACAGAGGGGAGTAGACAGGTG